CGGTGAAAGCTCACAGCTGCGGGAGACACCAGTTAGCAGTCATATGGTGTACTCACAGTATCCCATCTACCTGAAGCCGGTGGATGCACATAGCTGTACGGCATCGGGGTCGCCAGCCGACAGTCTGATGCAGCTGAGCAGCATTCCCGAGCAGCTGGAGCGAGGTATCCTGATACCCATACCACCGAAGTCAGAGTTGACAAACCAGGGTGCTGTAGGTAAAGCCACCAGTTCATCCAGTGGCCAGAAAAAACATCCACAGATGGATTTCCTTGCTCCGGGGGTGAGTTGATTGATTAAATTAATGTCAGGGCCATTTCGCGGATTATGTAACTGCACTGCAATTTTTTATTTGAAGACATTTTTATGTCTGATACTTCTAAATTTTGATGATTTCATATGGTAATCGTGGCTGTTAGAGCAAATAGAGGGTAATAATGACGTCAGTAACCAGATAAACAGGACGTAGGACTAGAAAAGTCCGGCCCTGCCTACTGTGACCTTGTGCTTAACCCTTAACTTAGAGTTTATAGTCAACACGAACCCAAAACTTAACTCTGGAAATGATACAGAACTCGCAACCTTAAATTTAATCCTAACTATCACCTTCACGTCTATTGCAAACTTATGTTCCCTGGACTCTGATGCAAAGTCACCTGTATTGTGGACAGTTTCTGCTCCGTTTTGATTTATGCGGCCATAGCATTTATCCTTACCCAATGTAAGCATAGGGCCTAGTATGACTGCAGGCAAACTGATAAATTGTAACTACGATTTAGTACATTGGTCGAAAAGACATAAAAAATGGCCACTCTCACCCCCTCTACCACTCATCCTCTCCCTTCATATCTTAAGCCTCAAATCTTATCCTACTCTGACACTTACCTCAAACTTAACGCTAGTGCTAAAGATTATCAGAAGCACTCATCCCAAAATTCCAGGAAATCAGTGCATGTCCCGTATAGGGGAGGGAGAGCTTTCAGCGAATCACGTTAAAAGGGAGACAGGATCACTGAAATGCTATAGCGAAGGGCTTAGGCTAAAATAAATAGATGAAATATTTATTGGTATTATCAATGTTGCAGCGGTGTGCCTTGTGTGTCATTAAAGACACTTAGTAAGCGGAAATAAATAATTTGTTCCTGTCAGCGAGACCATAGCTTTCCTAACTACTGACACGTCAACCGAAATTCTGAAATTGTTTTTGATCTGAATAAAGTACTGAGTAAGGATTGTACTTCTGATCGTCATATAGCCAAACCGCGAAATATTTTAGTCACGTCGGCTTGCCAGCGTTTGAATGAGCATCTTTCTGAACCTCTGCAAAATCATATTCTGTTAAAAATGACTTCCTAGGCAGCATACTATTTTCTCACGGATTTGCAATGCCCATAAAAATTCAAATATATTTAATAGAAAAAAACGTTCCAAATATTCTCCTTTAATGTTTTGATAGCAAGCGACGCCACTTTCAAGTTGTATATTTGAAGAAGGCCCACACTTTGGTTTCTTAAATTTGACGAATGGTCACCGACCACTAACGAAAATCACTTGTCCCACTTTGCCTTGGGTTGAATTTCTGAAGCCATCACAGGAACCGTAGCGACACGAACAAGGCAGACGGGTAGCCAGGCATACTCAGCTCAAAGTAGTGCATCACTCGAGGCTCGAACTCGTGAACACTGGATCAGAGTCTAACGCCGTAACCATTGAGCTACAAGCTTCTTGTTTTGGTCGGAAGATTTTAACACTCGTTGATTAATGTTCACCGACCGCTGACGAATTCACTTACCCTGGTCTGCCTTGGGGCTCAATTCTCGAAATCTGAAAGCAATCTTAGTGGCTAGAAGTTTTAAGTAGATAGGCAATCCTACGTGTTTGTGTCTAAACTGCCGAATACTTTTGAAGTACACGTTGCGCTTGAATCCAATGTCTCCAAACTACACACCTGAATAAATTTGGTCTAAGGAAGAGTGCATATTTCCCTACGATGTGACGAGGAAGGCATTTATAACTTACAATATTTTGCAGTGGGTGTGGACCACGTTGTATAATTGATAAGTAGCATTGGTAAGTGGACAGATACGCTAGCTTTGGTATGCACATTTCAGGGTCGTAAACAATTTCATAATTAGAAAAGGTTTTGAAAGCGAAATAGACCCTTCCTTTACGCACGAAATTTAAAG